CCTGGGATCATGACCTGAGCCGAAGACAGATGCTTAACGACTGAGCCACCCAGGCGCCCCGGCACAGAAGGTTTTAAAGTAACTTTACAAACAACTCTATTGGCCATTCAAAGCCTCCTGTGGCCTTATGTTCACCAAAAGCTCTCCAGATCTCCACCCTCAGGCATTCATCCTTTAGCAGCTGCATTACAATTTCTGCTCATAACCTCAGGTGATAACTCAAACCCAACACTGACCACCCTGGAAGTCAGGCTGGGGTCAGATGGGTGGGAAGAATTACTCAGCGAATGAATGTTCCAGGCACTGGGCATCAAAGAAGAGTAAGACAGTCGGTCCAGCCCTTGATGGGGAAGACTGCACACAGTAGGATATCAAAGGTGAGGGGGTGTGGGGGTGGGGGTGACTGCCTGGGGTAGGAATATCTAAAAAGCATCCCCAAGGAGGACCATCCATTCGATTTGCAGAGATCTGCACAGTAATCTGGTCATTGTTTGGATCCCTTGCAGCATGAGGTACGTTTATGCAGTAACTGTTGGCTTGCACTCACCAGGGGTAACAGGTGATTCTGTCCTGGGCAGCTTCTTTATTGCCTGTTGCCTCTGGCGACTGCCAGCAAGCCAGCCTGGCCTCACTGTCTCACCCACACTGACAGCATTGTGAACATTTTCCCCGGAGCCCTCTCTTCTGCTTGGCTGCCATTCTCCCAAGACCTTTCCACTGATATTTCTACTCACCTCCACAGAGAGGATCTTCCCCAAGGCGAAGAAGAGGGGGTGCATGTTGATGTCTGGGTCTTTGCCGAAACAGTTGGGCTTGGCATGGTGCTGGAAGTGCATGTGGTTCCACCAACTGGCAGGGGCCCCCTACAGAAAAGCAGGGACATGAGTATGAAAGCCTAGCCTTCCCCCATTCCCCCAAGGAAACCCTTCATTGACTGGAGTTTCAAGAGCCCCTCCCCAGCTCATTGACCTTCAGGTGGCCAATCACGAAATGATGTAGCAGGTGGTTCCAGGTGGAGGTGCTGAAGACAGACAGGTGCCCAAAGTCATGCTGCAGCCAGCCAGCCTGGGCCTGAGTGAGAAAGGTTAGCGCTGAGAGCAGCCCACCAGCCCAGGCTCCACCTCAGTGACCTCAGTGGCTCCCTGCCTCACCCCCTTCCTTCGTCTGCCTAGCCCTGTGATTGCCACAGTACCTCGAGCATGTCAGGAAAGGAGTCAGGAAGCCTGGGTCCTAACTCGGGCTCTGCCCCTAACTCATGCGAGCGTTGGGGCAAGTCACTATCCTTTCCCTGTTCTTCAGTTCCCTAGAAGAGTTCCCATAGAACTCTCCGGAGTTCTAGGACTTATGATGGAGTGAATATCCAGACTACAAAAAAGGATAGAGTGACAAACTCAGAGGCGAGTAACAGGCTTGGGAAATGGGTTCTGATATCAGGTTCTAAGCCTTATTAGCATGTCGGGCAATGTGGTGGTGAGGAGAAAGCCAAGCTTTTCTGAGAAATCAGAATTTTGGTTCTTGGCACACTTGGGCTACACTTCGGTGAGCAAAGTGAAGGTGCACGTGCGGTTAAGGAGCAGGTAAAAGGCACAGATGATAAAATGTCTTTGTGCGCTCTCTCCCATATCCTCAGTGCTGCCCCGGTCACAGTGCCAGGCTTCTTGGCCTTCTGAGGCATACAAAGAGGTTTCCCCAAGGATGAGGATGCTGAGCACGGCTGTGCTCTTGACTAGCCAAGAGCTCTCACTTGAACCGTGCTGAGCAGCACTGCACAGAGGAGGAAGGGCACAAGGGATGTCCCAAAGACCCAAAGAGTGAGCCAGGCAGCTACGTCCAGCAGCAGGATGTGTAGTAGGTACAACAGGAAGAACACGTGGTTGGCCTTCATGAGCCCCATCCGCTCCACTGTGGCCCGAAGCTCTCGGAACTCATCAATCAGCTCCTTCTGTGGAAGAGTGAGAGGGAGGGGCTGTTACTCTTCCCAGCTGTAACCCAGCACTGCTGGACACAGGGGCCCTCTTAGGCTCCAGGACCCCCCACCCCCAGAGAGCTGTGGGAAGTCCATAATCCTAAGTAAGTCTACCACAGCACTGAGGAAAGACGTGCTGAGGGATCATGCCTGAGAGCATGTGGTCTTTGGAGTTAAACAGACTTGATTCAAGTCCCTGCTCCGCCATCTACCAGTGATCCTTGGCCACACTGCTCACCCTCCCCGAGCCTCAGCTTTCTCATCTGTAAGCGCGTACAGGTTCTATGTGGTTACGGCGGACACAGAGGACATGCTTAATAGGTCTTGATGAGGGTAGTGGTGGTGGTGGCCTTGTGAGAGCCGTAGGTTTCAAAGCCCCGCTCATTATGCCTGTGTCCCAGTGACTGTGGGAGAAACAGGGACCTCAAGATTTCACAAGAACTACTACTGACTGTGGGGGCGCTTGGGTGGTTCAGTTGGTTAGGCGTCTGCCTTCAGCTCAGGTCAGGGTCCCAGAGTCCCGGGATCGGGCCCCGCATAGGGCTCCCTGCTCAATGGGGAATCTATTTCTCTCTCTGCCCCTCATCCCATTCATGCTCTCTCTCTCTCTCTCTCTCAAATAAAATAAATCTTAAAAAAAAAAAAACTACTGACTGTGACCAACTCTGATCTTATCTAGGCCTTCCTTCTCCCCCCTGCCCTTCAACAATCAAAGTGTCTCCAAACAGCAGAGTCTCACATTTTTAGTGGGCTCAAAGCTGGGCTGCTCTGGAGACAGTTCTCCAATCAGGAGAGAGTTCATATACTTCCTCACAAGGCCCTTGTCGATGTGGAACGCCACAAAGGGATCCTGCAAGGATAGGGAGAAGACAGCGGTTAGGAAGCCAGCCCGAGCCCCCGGGGGCTCCTGGAGGGCTCACACCAGAGGCCATCCTCCCGATCCAGCAAGGAGGCTGTATCCAAGTTCAAAGAGATACCACTTCCCTCCAGTCAGCTGCCCTTTGAGGGGCAGCTTAGACCTTTCCCAGGTGTGTGCACAGCTCAGGAACACCCAGCATGTGTTCTAGTGAAAAGGGCACCACAGCAAGGAATAAGAAGTGTGGGTAGGGGTGACCACAGAAAGACTTCTCTGGGCTGGCCTGTCCGCCAGGCTGGCCTGTCCTTTAGGCGTGTCTAGGGACAGCTCTTGCACAAGAATTTAAGATCTAGGTGAGAAACAGGTAGAAGGGATGGGTGGGGCTGTTGAGACTTCTGTTTTTTCCTATGGGACTTCTAATAGATCCCCTCTGAGCCAGCGTTCTTCATAAAATGTGAGTAGGAAGACTCCCTACCTCCGAACTGGGAACTTTTGCATTTCTCCCCCTTCTCTCTGCCGCTGTTCCTGGTAGGGTTCCATTATTTCCCCTAAGACTCTGACCACCCCCTGCCGCAGAGTGGCTACTTTTGGTTTTGGTAGGTCAGGCGGTCCCAGGCCTTAGGGGGAAGCGGCACTAGAGGCGGGAGCCGGGGCGGAGCCGGCGGCCGGTGGCACCACACATCTGGACCAATCGCTATCCCCGTTGCGGCCGGCCCCAGCCCCGGCCCCAAATCACACTGCGTGAAGACCCTGCGTCGGCGCCTGCTCTGTCTGCGCATGCGCTAGCGCCCACCTCTTAGCTCTCGGCAGTCCCGGCTTCCCAGTGGTCAGTCGGGGTGACCGCTGCAAGCTCTGGCCTTGCCTGCCCACCCGCCCCCTCACCCTGTACGGGGGTTCCCACGGCAGCGGGCACTAGCTGGCTTCCCGCCTCGGCCCTATCCCCGAGAACGCTTCCCTCTCCTGCTCCCACTCGCAAGCCGGCACGCGCAGTCTAGACGCCCACTGCGCTCCCTTCGCACCCACCGAGACAGTTCGAGACTCCCTCTTCCTGCCGCTGACCCCTCCCTCCCTCGGCCTCAGCCGCTCCGCCGTCCCCGGCACCCTGCATCCTGGCTTTCCTCCCTGCTTGTCCTGCTCTGGGGTACGTCTGCCTACGTCTGGCGACCAAAGACGGGGCCACAGACGGAACGCACGCATACTGGCGGCGCAGTCCTTTGTTTGTGTGGGCACGTTGCCGGCCTCCATCCCCAACTCTCCTGATTCAGTTTTCACAGCCATTCTCCTGCCCTTGCATCCCGTGCTAAGTGGTGGGCAACGGGTACGCTCGACGCCTGCTGGCTCTTCCCCCGAATCAGTTGGGAGTTCGTCCGTGGGTGCCAAACTTCCTGCCTGGCGCACTCAACCTCCAGCGGCAGCCGCCCGGCCCCGCCCACTCCCGTGCCTAGGTCGGGCAGCGCTCACCGTAGCATCCTGCCCCGCGTAGTGGCTGATGACCCGGGAGCCCCCGGGGTGCCGCCGGCAGAACTCGCTGATGTTGTATACTTTCCGGTCGATCACGAGCCACCGCTCCGCCGCGTGTCCGGAGCGCTGCGCCACCTCGTCCCACGTGAAGTAGCGCTGGGTCGGCGCCTGGGTAGCGGTCTCGGAGTCCATCCGGGCAGAGGCGGCCAGGCGCGCGCTCCGGGCCCGTGGGGTAGAACGCGCCACCTTCGCGAGCGCGGAGAACGGACCCGCTTGCGCGCGCCGGGTTTTCAGCACCCGCGGCGCGGACCCCGGAGCCCCGCTGCACGCGCTCCCATTGGTCGAGCCGCGTGGCGCGGGGAGCGAGCCCCCGCCTTCCCACCGGGCTCCGCTGGGGAGGATTAGGGCGGGCGCGCCCCCTCGCGGGCTCCGTGGAGGGTTCGTGGCGGAGTTCAGTTTCCCCGACTCGCGGTACGGCTCCCGGGGGTCCTGCGAGCTGGAACGCAGTCTCTGCGGACGCTCCTGGGTGCGGGGTTCGGCGCGCCGGTGGGTGGGGAGGGGTCGTCCTGGGGTCGAGGCTGCCCTAGGGGACTGGTCCTTAGGCCCCGGGCGCCGACCCAGCGCCGACCCAGCGCAGATCCATCTGATAAACCCCCGGCCTCCTCGCCAGGCGCCCACGGTTGTGGGGCCTGAAATAACAGTGTGCGAACCCTTGGCGGTTATCTGTGACCTGCGTAATTACGGTTAATTGGGTTTGGGGCATGTTCATGCTTTCTTTTGCCCAAAATAACGTTAAAAATGCCCCACAATTTTTGTAGCCCTGTTTACCCTTTTTGTTTTAATTTTTGGTCTATTCTGAATTAACTGGAATACTTAAATAAAAGGAAGTGGTTTTCAGCATCTCCTGACCTCAGGGAGGTTCTGTGTGGAGAGCCTGGGTCTTCAAGCTGAGGCATCCCTACGACGTCCTGAAGGCACCCGAGAGCCATAGGAGGCCTTTACGTAGAGGGATTTGGGGCTCAGACCTCTGGGCTTTGGGAGGGAGGGAGGAAGCACCCAGATGATGGGGTTTTGGGATATAGGTGAGGTTCAGTGGGGTGGAGTCCGGAGCCCACGACTAAGAAAGAAGTCTTGAGACGTCTTTGGTGCAAAATGGTGGTTTATTATAGCACGGGGACAGGACCCACGGACAGAAAGAGCTGCTGCCCGGGGGTTGTGAGGGGTGGCTGATTATATACTATGGGGTTCGGGGGCGATAAGGAAAAAGGGAGGTTTCAAAAGAACTTTCATATGCTAAAGAGGACCTACAAGATACCGGCGGCCTTGCCATTGTCAAGTTGAGGTTGTTTACCCCTCTAGTAAGGCATTAACATTAAGATAGTTGGTAGCTTCCCGGAGGAACATTACACTCTGCCTACTTCAATTATCTATCAATGGGCTGCAGGTTATAAGGGCATTTAATTTTATCTACATTTCCTTCTGGAAGCTAGGTTATTGATGATAGGAATGCTTTGTTCTTGTAGATTGCTAAAACATTTGTAAACTGAGGGAGACGCCCATCTTGTAGGATTGTGATCTGTATAAGTTAACTATTTGTTTTTCCTTTAGGAGTGCCTGAGGAATGTCACATAGATCCCATGCCGGGGGTGGGGGGGGGGTGTCAGCTTCTGCTTTGTCCTCAGCTTGCCTTCTGTTCCCTCATCACAGAGGCTGGGGGTGCCGGTCAAGGAGCTGTTGCAGTAGGAAGAGACCCAGAGTTTACTGCTAAATTTTCTCCTATTTATTCAACAAGCACACTATAAAGCACTTACTCCGTGCCAGGCACTGTTCTTAGTGTCTTATAAACATGAATTCACGTAATTCTCACAACAACCCACTGAGGTAGAAACTAGTATTAACCTTCCAGACAGAGGAGACGTTATGTGTTTTGTCACATAGCTAGTAAGTGGCAGGGCCGAGATTCAAACCAGCTTGTGCTGCTTTGAACCCCTAGGCTCTGCTGTCTCTCCTCTGAGGACACTAGTATTTGGGTACTTTGATGGGACTCTGCAGCCAAGAGAAAGGAAGCAGATCCTTGTCCCAAGCACTGAGCTAGAGAATGAGCTCCTAGGAGTCAGGAGAGGGGCATGTAGAGCAGACTGGGAAGAGTGTGGCTGGATTTTTGGTGGAAAAGGACATTAATCGCTTCGATCCAAATATTTCATTTTATAGATAAGAGAATTGAGTTTCAGAATGGGGAAAGGGACTTCCCAAGTGCCTGTGAGGAAGCTCAGGTATCCTGGCTTCTGGTTAAGATTCCGGGGCCCTGGACCTTGTTGCAGAATGAGAGACAACCCACCCTGCCCCCCGCCCCGTATGCCAATTTCCCTTTTTAAAAAAACAAACGTTGCCCAGCAACTTGGCCGTTTGTAACCAGAGGTATAAAATGGTTTGTACTCTTCAGTCGAGTAATTTCACTCTTGGAAAAGCCAGGAGTGGGAAACTACAAAGGTGTTTATTGCTAATTTAATAGTAAAGACTGGAAACAGCTACAAATCCTGACAGTAAGAAAACCTTCAGGCTCACTGGGATATATTAGCACAATGAGGAATTACAGAGTGATTAAAATGACCATAATGTGAACTATATTTATAGGTAGAAAGTACTTTGTGGTGAAAAGAGCAGAACCCAGAGTACTCACTGATTAAAGTTTTGTAAGAATCCCATGGGTATTAAATAACAGAGGAGACTCTGCCACAGTGAAAACATTTCATAGTTTGACATTCTTTATTTTTCTGTAAAGTTGCTTAATCTCACTGAAGAAGAAAGAAAGACCTTGCTACAACCATTATTCCTGTAGCGTATTCTTTTAGTGGGAATGTAAATTGATGAAACTTTCTGGAAAACTAGTTTGGTAACTTTATTTAGAACCTTAAAAATGTTTCCAATAATTTCACGTTTCAGGATATAGCCCAAGGAAAATTTTCCCCCTTATGCTGTATTTTTTATTCCCATGACTTAATTCAACTAGAAGTCTATCTCTATACTTGCCCTCGCCCATTTTACTCCCCGCCCCCCCAACCTCCTCCCCTCTGGCAATGGCCAGTTTGTTCTCTGTATTTATAGGTCTGGCTCTGCTTTAAGGAAATCTTTTAGGGAAAAATATTTATAACCAAAAAATAGTCATTGAAGAAATATTTATGACAGCAAAAAATGGCAGCCACCTAGATGCCTATCAGTGGAATATTAAGTAGACATTAAAAATAATGTGATGAAATTTTACTGGCTGAGGAGATAATCGTCACTCTAGAAAAAGACTAGAAGGAAATGATAATAGTAACTATTTCTGGATGAGTGGAACAAGGTCATTTATATTTTCTTTAATACTTTCTGAATTTTTTATTATGAGCATGGATTACTTTTACCTTCAGAAAAAAAGTTTATTGTTTTATTTTATTTTTTTTCTAAAGATTTTATTTATTTATTCATGAGAGACGGAGAGAGAGAGGGAGGGAGAGAGAGCGAGAGAGAGAAGCAGAGGGAGAAGCAGGCTCCCAAGGAGCAGGGAGCCCGATGCGGGACTCGATCCCAGGACCCTGGGATCATGACCTGAGCCGAAGGCAGACGCTTAACCATCTGAGCCACCCAGGCGCCCAAAAAGTTTATTTTAAAATGCCACTTGTAGGATGATTCTTTGATTAACCCCACCTTCCTAAAACCATTCACCAAGTGTTTCATTAACATTTGTGGAGTGTCTGCTCTTTGTCAGTTATTTTAATAGGCGCTGGGAATACAAAGTCCAATATCATATGGATCATGCCTAGTTTAAGACCACTGGAAAAGATGATTAGAGTTCAAGAGGGTACTCCTTTTTCTAATTCGCATTTAAGAAGTGTGTGTGACGTGGAGTTGCCTTCATGTTTCTTTCCTTTGCAAGCGCTCTTATTTCAGAAGTGGAATCAATAAACTTGTTGCTATGAAATTAGCTAATTTGTGGGGACACAGTGTCCTGTATTTTGGCTCCGGGGAAGGGACTGTAAATTCTATTTCTTTCTACCTGGTATATTCAAAGTACCCTAGTTTGGGGTTCTGCGTGGAATCAATAAATTTGTTGAAATAACTGATCGTTTCAGCCTGAAAAAAATACAGGTTAGCAGGAATGTAGGCCACCAGACAGATACCCTAATGCCTTCTCATTTCCCTGTGCTCCTACATACATGATCATGGAGATTGTAAAAAATCTACTCCCAGGCCTGACCCACTGGACAAATCCTTTGCCTCGTGGGCTCTGCTGATCCCATTAACTTGCCTTATCCAGGAAATGAATCATATGCGTATTTCCAGATTGAGACTTGTGAATACTCCTCCAGCTATTCAGGCTAAGGGAATTACTAAGGGAATGGGGAAATCAGCTGAAGGCCCTCCTGCCAATTCTCATCAGACCATGTTTCGGTAACATGACTACAAAAGGCCATTGGAACAACCTGAGGTGTGAGTTCAGATTTTGATGTGTTTTGTCAAGAATCACAGACGTCATAGACAAGGGACTGAGTCCTTCACAAAGTCAACAAGTAGAGGAGGAAGAGTGTTGGCTGTGCTTGGCTCCTGTTGCAGCCTTTTGTCAATTGACAATGCCTCAGACCCTTAAAGATCAAAGCCATCTTTTGGTGGCTGGGTTGCTATGAAATTAGCTAATTTGTGGGGACACAGTGAACACAGTACCTTACGGTACGCTCTAATAAGGTGAACTGAATCAGTCCTTGCATTATGAAAAATCATTTGTAATAGCTCTGTAAGTTAAGATGAAAGAAAATCATGATGTCTAGTGCTTGAACTAAAGAGAGTCTCGTGATCACACTTTTATTAGAGGTACAGGGATGACTAGAAAGAGTATTCCTTCAGTTTACCACATTCTAAGAGCATGGGAGAAGGAGGGGCAAGGGGCCCATGGAGGATGAACTCGTGGAATTTTCTTAGTGGGATCTTATGACTGTCTAGACTATAAGCACCTTACAGACAGGTGTGTTAAACCCACTCTTTTACAGGTAAGGTGACTTGAGATCCAAAGTGCTGCAGCCACACATAGAAAAAATAGGAGACCTGAGCTGGAATTTACCCCTAGACCTGATGATAACTATAGTTCCTAAACCGTAGGTTCAATGAATGTGTTTGATATAAGGCCACCCTGGTTCAGAGAGGACGTGGCAGGGTCAGCGTGGTTGTCTCTTACTTGTCTGGGGCGCCTTCTTCCCCACAGGCGCTCAGCCTTGCCTTTGTGAAATGGGAGAAGGCAGGTCTAAACCCGTAGGCCCCAGAGCTGCAGATATCCCCCAGGGAATTCGTCTACACCGCCCCTGGGGCATCCGCATCCAGGTCAGCTTTT